TGTGCAAACAAAATGTCGCGAATCGAACCGGTACCTCTCACCTGGTCAAGGATGCCCGTTCTAGATTCGCGGACGTCGAGCGTCTTGTCTAGTGTTGCAAGAACTTTCAAAACATTACCAAACGCTTCTTTCATTTAGCTCATTTTCACAATCGCTGTCCCGAATGTTGTAACACGAGACATCCTTGTTGGATTCTTTTATTGATAGATTATATCTTCAAGTAAAATTCGCTTTGCGGAGCTTGTATTAACTCTTATGTTTGGGAAACTTAAAAGCTAACGAAATATTTTGATCTCAAATAATAAGTACCTTATATAAATACTGTCTATAGTTTACGCGAGTAGTACACATTTAAATAAAACACTGTAACGGTTTAAAACGCGATATATTAGTTAAACTTATTTAAAAATATTTTTAATTCGGCCCGACGTTTCGGATCTTTGCAGCAGCCGTGGTAGTCTCCCCGTGACTTTAACGAACGATTAAGTCTATCTATAAATTATATAGAAATATTAGCTTATTTAAAAGCTAGCTTAGCTATAAGTTAGTTTTAAAGCAAATGGTGATAGCTGTAATTAAATGAAGAATGGCTTTGATAATTTATCCATGTTTTACACTAATTATTTATTTATTTATTACAAGAAAACTATGGCAAATAAAATATGTTTTCCAAACAATATAGTATTATAATTTGTTTTCCAATATGCTAGTAAATACGTAAATACGTCGAACGGTAAATAAATAGCAATTTTGTATAATACTTGAAGAAAATAGAAACGCAAAATTTATCTGAAATCGTGACGCGAAGCAGCTGTATAGTGTTGTGTGTGCGCAGGTGTTAAGCATTGTTTGACGAAATCAAAGAACTACCCACCTCGTGACGTATTTAACAATTATGGTACATTGTTGCTATGTATATAAATAATTTGACTGCGATACAATTTAAAACGAAAATAGATTGTACAAAATTGTGACAGGGAATATTTGCTTTGTGTTTTTCAAACTACCAGACCGATAAATTTAGACTACCCACTGTACCAGAATAGTGGTGTAATAAAAAATAAATCTTTACAACGTAACTTACCTGTTTATGTAAGTACAACAGTACATCTATGTGAATCGACAACAAACATTTTTCATTACCCCTAGTAGGTATAGAAATTCAAACAGACAGACAAGCAAGTTCACTTAACAATAACTTTCTACAATGCACTGTCCATCTATTTTGGCTTCGAGAATTAAAAAATCAACAGACAAACCCGATAAACTTCGTGATATGGGCGATATATAGCACACAGTTGAGACACTTCCCAGAAAAGAGGTAAGAATTTATATCGGAGGATCTTCAACAGGTATACATTAGGGCCACCTGCTCGCCGCTCCACTGGTTTCGTGGGGGTGACTGAGGGTTCGTCCCATTTAATTAACTTAACTTAGTTATCCGGCTTTTGTTTTAGTGGAAGGCTGCGCTGTTTTGAGGTGAGTTTGTTTAAAATTAAATATATAAAAAAAATAATAACTATTTGACATTTAGAAAACTATAGCGACTTTATTAAAATAGTTAGGCACGATTTTTCAGTTCCCTTACATTTTTAAAACTAATTTAAATTAAGAATAGTCTTACCAGTGTATTTTAATTTAATATGATTTAACAACCTACCGTAATAAATAAATATAATTTTTAAAAAAACATTCATCCAGTTATGAGAACCTAATAAAGCTAGTGATTATGTGTAATTGGCTATATATAAATAAATATAAAAATAGGAAAAAAGTGTGAGAAACATATATGTATGTATAAAGTAAGACACTTCAGGTTATACTTAATATAAACAATATGAATTTTACAGTAATTTATGGGTGGAACTATCTTTGGGTAGGCATAAAAAACCGCGGACAAAAGATATTTAGGCAGGTAGGTACTTATAGAAAAAAATATATATATTATTCCAGATAAACCCGGAGTTGACAAATAGATTATAAGGGGTTAGTTGCATGTGATATGAAGATAGTTATTTATATACACGAATAAGTAAATTGTACATTTTAGATTTATTTATCATTACTTAATTATTGGTAACAAATTCACTTTTTAAAATATAATTTTTTTTATTTAAAAGATGAGAAAGTAACAAATATATCTTCTTAAACGCAATAAATTAATAAAATACTTCTAACATAATCGAATTGATTAGTTCGTAAGTTATGTGGAATAATAAATAAAATAAGAATTTAAATATTTAAATATGAGACTGCTTAAAGGATTTCGCGGGCGGATGCGCGTGCGCAGTTTGACGCGGGGCGGGAGGGACCGCACCGGCCAATGGGCGCGAGAGACGCCGCGCCACTCATAGCGACAATCTCGTAATTTTCCCGAGAAAAGCCACGACTTTTTGTAAACATTTAGGGGGCTGCTATCCTCGCGCATTCCTTCTCAACACGATTCGACCAATTTCAAAGTTTAAATTAAAAAGGAAAGCCTCAAAAAAATTAACAAAGTGCGCACCCAACGACGCCACCCTTCGTGTTCGGAAAATTTTATATGTTCCTAAAAAAGTATTTACTGGTGAATTCTATATTAGGGGACGTAAAAATAATAATTTAAATCTTTAAGATCGCAAAATATTAAATAAAAAAAAAATTGTAAGGGCGGTAATTTTTTTTCGAAATTTTAATTTTTTATTACTAATATATGATTCTAAAAATTAATTTAATATAATAAAAATGAGATTATTAAATTAAATACTACCTAAATGAGCCGCGAGGCAGGGCCCGCCCGAGCAATGTCGGGCGCGGGAACGGCGGCCTCTCGGGGCCTTCGCGGTATCGTCCCGACTAAAATTTCTAAAATTTAATCATCAAGTTTATGCTTCAAAAGATAGGCGCAAGCCTGTAAATTAATTTTATTAAACCATCGACGCCAAAAAGCGAAGCGTGCACCGAGGAAAATTACGCGAAATTTTCCGATCGCACTTCATCTGTGACGTCAGCACGCAGATGCAAGTTCTCAACAAACGAGTGAAACTCACTCAAGTTTATTCGGGAAGAGGTAATATAATTTTTAAAAACATAAAAAACCGTAAAATAATAACGGGATGTGAGAAAACGAAAGCGAGGATATTTGTGCGCGGGCGCAGTGTCGGTAGGTAGACGGTTCCGAGAAGGGTGTTTTTATTATGAGAATGTTAAATCCGTGACAAAAACACTTCTTGAGTGAGTGGAGATAAGAAAAAAATATCTCATTCATGGTGTGGAATGTTTGGTCGCGCGGGCGCCATCACTTTTCCGACGCATTGAAAAAATAATTGGGTACCTAACAATGGCTTACCGGCTCTTTAGCTATAGCGAGTCTATATCGTTTTAAAAGTGTAAAATTGGTTATAGGCATTACATAACGATTAACATCGACATTAACGGCCAATCATTGAGTTTTAAATAATTTATTTGCATCTAAAATTTTTAAATATTAATAAATATATTTTCCTTAATTTTTAAAACTCTCGCCAAAATTACTATCTCGCTTAAAATGCATTTTCATTCAGATTACCACTGACTAGGAAACTTCTAACGAAGCTATCTAACCTACCTTGCAATTACGAAACCTAACAAATACCTAACAAGCCATTTGTGATATATCCCTTACTAATCTCTTAACTTGTACAAAATTAATTTAATCAATAATTACTAAGGTTCGCCTGAGCTTATTCTAGTCAAAATGACCAGCCCTGTAACAGTTCCCACAGCTGGGATTTTGAGCTGAGAATGTATTTATACTTGAACTGAAGCTGCTACGACGATCAACTCTGTTTTAGTGACACACTATCGATCGTCTATTTTACACGAAGGACTTCTAGTTTAATTTCCTTTATGTTTGTAACCTTACCCGATTAGTATACATTTAAATAAAACACTTATAACGGTTTAAAACGCGATATACAGTTCCTCGTGACTACGGCGGCCGAAAAGCATCTAAATTCATAAACCATTTCTTATTCTAAGCCGTTAAAAGTGTTTGATTTTAATTCCTTTAATATATGTGGAATAATAATTCAAGCGCTCTCCAAAAGTTACAACCTTACTTATCACAGGAAGCGTATTACAAAACAAGACTACGTTGAAGTTATAACTTTTAATTAGAAGCTACGTAATTAAGTACGAGTTCCGTCCCTGGGGGTCCCCGAAGGAAGGGGGCGGAAGCACGTGTTTGGCGATAACGGCTTACGACTTCAACCACTCTTCTGTTATTATCAAAAAGATAATTTGAATACTACGTAAAGAAAATGAAGATATGTACGATTTAAATTATAAAATTATACATTTTCATTTATTATTCCTTACACCTACTAACTTAATAAGCCATTTTTTTTCCTGTTCTTCAGGTTGCCTGGAAGAGATCGCTACTTAGCGACAAGGCCTACTTTATAATTATAAGGTAGTACATAAAATTTTATCTCTTGTAGGTTTTTTGAAATAAATAAATATAAAACTTAACATAGAACGACAGTTATTCATTATAAACAACCTAACTGATTTGAGTCTGTTTACACATATAGTACACATTTTAACGGTTTAAAACGTGAAATATATTAGTTAAGTACATTTTGACTAGCACCTATCGGTTACGGTTACGTTTAAAACGATTTTAGCGTATGGTGTACATTACGTTACAGTAGTAGTAATGAGAAAAATATTATAATTGCTTAGTTACGAAATAGGTCTTAGTTCATTTTTAGTTTGTTGCTTAGCTTTGCATTTTATTAATTATAATTTATTCGTCACGAATTTTTAGTCTTTCGTGAAACTGTACCTGACTAAATAGAACCTGTGACGAGTGATTGAAATGCTGATCTGATGAGTAACAGTTGACGTAACCATTGTAATGCGTAGTTATAGTTAGTCTCTGTTCCGAGCTAAAATTACCATGTGGGACTATTTGCAATTTTCCTCATAAAATCACCTAATGCATTACCTGTTTCGTTCGTATTTTTTAAACTAGAGAAATGTTGCTTTCGACTCTAGGATTAGATATAGCTATAGATATTCAACAATTCAATAATGTGAGTGCTTGATGCAGGAATTATTCAAAAAATAATTTAAACATTTTTTTATTTTTAAATAATACACTTTAACGGTTTAAAACGCGATTATTTTCTAATATAAAACGGTAAAACAACTCTTCAGTGAAAATACACGGCACATATGATCGTCAATTGTTTATACGTAATAAAAAAAATTGTAAGTTTTATACTTTTTATAAAATCCCTTAACATGTAAGTTATCAGCTAAATTCCTAATAAAAATTAATTAGGTATTATTAAGTAGGCACTAGACACCTAATCCCAAATTTAAGAGTCTTCTTTTAAACGCCATTTATAAAATATCTTAAAATGTCTAACGCATAAAATCTTTAAGAGATACACTAGTATAAAATAGATAAGCAACTGGTTTTATAAATTGTATGAAAAAAAAATATTATATGTAGTTTACGCGAGTAGTACCTACACATTTAAATAAAACACGTTAACGGTTTAAAACGCGATATATTTTAGTTAAATATGTTTGAAAATTATTTTTAACAAAAGGTTGGATGCTTTACAGCCGTGGTAACGGAAACCGAACTGAAATACGTGTTTTAACGATAATGTGTTTTAGTTAAGAATAATATAACAAATATAAAACTAATATTTTACTATCGATTATCATATCTTGCAGTTTTTATAAGTAGGTATTGTAGAAAAAGATAAAAGATATTAATACAAAATTAGATAAGGCTTTTTATCTTTCTATTTACTTAGCACGATTATCCATTCGCAGTGTTGTATACATCTATACCTACTAATATATGAAGCGGAAGATTTTGTCTGAACGCGCTAATCTCAAGAACTATTGTTTCGAAGTGAAATTCGCTTTGTTTGTTAGAGCATTTATCGAGAAAGGTTTTAGGCTATAAAAAATACGATGCGACCAATAGGAACGGCGGTACAGTAAGAAATGTGGACGTAACGGGTAACGGGATGTGAAAATTGTGCAAGACACCCAAAAAGTATAATTCCACTTTAAATAATCTGAAAAAAATGACCGCAACAGTATTCCTAGACGACGTCATTGGTGTAATTCAGCTTCGTCAGCTATAATTTACAAAGTTGCAGAGGTTTGCAGAAACAAATTTTCATGCCTAAATATAACTTTTCCACGCGGACGAAGTCGCTGGCACAGCTAGTACTTATGAAGATCTTAGAAGCACGCAACGATTTTCGCAATTATAGCTTGAATTGTTCGTCTCCTTCGTTCGGCGTGTCCGCGCGAGTCAACAGCGCTGGGGCCGCAAGGGTGCTCCATAGCAAACCACGCCTCCACCACATCCTAATTATATCCTCAGCTAGTTTTTAACAATGCACTTATGACACAGAACAAAGGTAATCGTTAAATGTGTTTGCAGAAAACGTGACGAAGTAATTATTGTACGGCGTTCCATTGCGTACGCGCATAATTTTGTGAACACGCAGTGTACGGTGATAAAGCGGGCGTGTGTGCCTGTGTGGCCCACCAACGAGGTTATCAATCTTTAAAGAGTCGCTTATTATTACTGTAAAAAAATCGCGTTTACTCACCTCGTTTGAATGGTTAGGTGGCTTTCTAACTTTGAAAATAAACGCCACTAATCTTATAGGATAGTAATTACCCTAAACAATAATTACAACACTAATGTTCTTTATTGTTACAAAACAAGAAACAGCACATGATAAAAAGACAAATGGCGGCTCTATAGCTGAACAGCTATCGCTTCCAAGCAACCGCGTGAAAATAAAAACACAGTTCACGTAGGATGGTCCATTTGTCAATTGACAATTGGGATATTTTTATTGATTATTGAGAATTATAAATTTCATATATAAATGAGTTGTTAATATACTTATAAAGCCTTTCTTTTTCAATGTGTTTAGGTATATTTTAGATTTATTTCAATTGTATAGGTATGTATTTGAAATCACGTTTACCCTCGTAGGATGAAGCGACATATATCTATGTCCGTTTTAGTGATCAATTTTTTACAGACAAGTAGTTTATCAGACTTCTGTACCCGACTGAAACAATCCACTGTTTTCCCGGGTTGTCTATTATTATTCGATCTCAGGACCTTTCGCGCTTCACTCTATGAAAGATGTTTAACCATTTAGCTATAAAGGCGGTCTGTAGAGAATTTTCTTTATTTCTGTTTGGTTATTTATGAGGTTTGGTATATATTTATATTCTTATACTTATGAGGGAAGAATAAAAATTAATGTTCTGTTCAAAGTTTTTTTTGTAGTTTACGCGTTTTTATTATTATTTTCACTACAGCTCGATGCTTTGCAGAAGCCGTGGTCATTAGGTCCCCCCAAAACCATGGCTGCTGCGAAGCATCTGAAAACGTCGATTAGGTACTAGTTAAAATAAATAAAAATAAGTTATTTAATATATTTCGCATGTTAAACCGTTTAAAGTGTTTTATTTAAAGGTTATGTCTATTCCGAATGTAACATTAGGTACCTACTGTATTTTCATTTATATTAATTAGTATATAGTGTATATCTTGTTAGTTTTTTAAACACATACCTACAAGTGATTGTCGCGCATCAATATTTAGTATTTGCGGATAAATACTGTCTGTAATTTACACGTTTAAATAAAACACTTTAACGGTTCAAAACGCGATACACTTATATTAGTTAAACTAGACGAAACGTCGAAACGTAGTTTAAAAATAACTGTCAAATAAGTTTAACTAATATATATATCGCGTTTTAAACCGTTAAAGAGTTTTAAGTATTTGCGGGTATCCAGATAAACGAGGCGTCGTCTGAGTGTTGCAAGTTGCGAGCGGTGCGGGCCAGCGGAGGAATGCGACAGGTAACCGATTCCTGGAAGGCCGCGGCCCGTTACCGCGCCGAATATCTCCGGCAGTCAAACGCGCCGACAAGTGCGCGGCCACTTGCGACAACGTGCGATGCACCGACCCCCCGGCCCCCCCTTCTTGCACCGGCTAGGGCTGCCGCTGACTTTGGTGTTAGGTAGCTTAGTTAGTATCATTTTAAAAACTTTCAGATCTTATATTTCTCCGTTTGCGGCTAGAAGCCAGACGAAAAACTTAAACCATTTTTGGTAGATAACTAGCTGACTCAGTGACTTCGTACGCGAATAATAGTTATTATGGGTATCAACTTTTAATTTTGCAAACCTGTTGAACTCTATAAATTTAAGCTATAACCCACAAGGTCGTCCGCGTCCCGTCGTTCTTTCAAGTTAATCTGACAAGATAGACATATACTGTCGTGGACTTTTTTATAAATATTTTTTGGGTCTTGAGCCCTTTTACTCAATGGAAGAGGAAAGAAGGATAAATATTTTTTCCCATTTTTTCGACACTTTGCGTTTTTTCCTAGCTCCTATTAGTCACAGCGATATGTTTTATAGTCTATGGCCTTCCTCGTTAAATGCTTTAACAAATACAAAAAAAAAAAATTCGAACCCAAAATAGTTCCCGAGATTAGCGCGTTCTAACATACAAACAAACTAATTCTTCAGCTTCATATATTAGTATAGCTTTAAATTTTGATTAATTTTTCAGATACAAAGCATTTACAAGTTGGGTGGTAAATGTAAAAATTAATAATCGATTTTTGTTAGACATAATCGATCGTTAGTGGGGCTTGGCGCATCCCTAGCTGCTGCATTCCAAGCGACATCGAGTTAGAACCAGTCGAACGGTCCGCATTCTATCAGCACCATTCGGACCTTCTTCGCCTAACATTCGTCGCTTTATGCCTCCGATATGGATTCCACGAATACTCCGATATGCCACTTTTTGGCCACGCCGTATCCGTACTGTATCGTACCCTGGGAAATCGGCACGTTACTGAATACGTATTCAGCAGAGGGCCTGTTATGATACAATGCCAGCAAATTATCAAACGAAATTCCGATTATATTTGTAGAATGACCACAATAGATGTATAAAAAAATATTTTAAATTAACACAATACGGATACGTGGCTAGGACAGAATGAAAAAAAGCTTCATACAAATATATAATCTTATTTGTTTCACACTGTTTGGGTTTCATTGGGCCTTAATTAAGATGCTAAAATCGGATCGTAGTGATATAATTATAAAAATGCGGGTAGTAATTTAAAAACGCAATGTACCGGGCAACTATTATGGAACGATGTATATATCTGTTTAAATATTATTATTACTTTCTAGTCTAATTAGAAAGATATATATATGTATAAATAAATGTTACGTGAAATCGTTCAAAAATTAACAGAAAATAAATCTCTAATGGAAGTTGCCCACATGTTCCAAAGCCGTGTTCTTCATTTAGGGGTGTCCATTATAACTATTGTTCCCATTAGCGCCCCTATATCGATGGTGACAGATCAAGGAATTCGTGTGAAAACTACAGACTAAAATAGCTTAAACGAAAATAAATTCAAAGAATATTAAACTATGGAGATACTAGTTAGGCGACAGTAGGCGTTGCGTAGAAAGATATAGATGTACAAAAAAAAGAAAACGTGAAAAAGATTTATATCTGTTTATGAAACTCATTTTTTTTTAGCTATTACCACACATAGGAAATGTATGTATGTAGAATAACAAAATGGTCTTCAAAATAAAATCCGTTAATTGTAACTTAATTTAATAATATATGATTTGCAGTCTGTGGTACACCATCACCCTCTGAACACGAGTCACACTAAAAATAGCCCCCCATTAAAACAATATCGCATCTGGAGAGAGTGTTATTGATTTGCGGTATCTCCTTCGTGATTTAGAGCTTAAAAACCATATGAAGAATTCTAAAATTGGGCGTAAAAATATAGACGAGAAATCTGGACATTCAAATGTGTAGTAAGAATATTTAAAGGCCGTTCTTAGGTATAGTATGGTTATGGTAAATTCTCAGTGGACTTGTGAATATCCAGAAGCAAAATACATACTAGTGGATCCTCTGTCAGAAAAAAATTACTCCAGTAGCTGTGCCAGCGACTTCGTCCGTGTATAATAGCTATTTCGAGCGTCTTTATAAATTATAGCTGTGAAGTATAGTCTGTGGATTTCCGAATATCCAAAGTCCAAATAGGTCGATAGTGCATCTTGCTCAGATATAGGCTGGGGTATATCATCTACCATTAAGTGAACCACAAGCTTGTGGGCCTCCTTTATCATAAAATAGATGCGTACGCTACAAATTTCTACATTAGACTTGTGGCCTCATTACGGTCACTCTCACGAGAACCCAAGTTCAGCCAAGAGGGCAGGGTGTCCCTTATTAGTCGTTATATTAGGATGTGACAGCTGAGACGAGCAGTTCCGACTCGCCAGATGTTCGAACATGTTACATGTTTATGAAATTGAGCCGGAGGAAGATCGACGTACGGAGGGAGCTATGTTTGTTTAAATTATCCGGGTTTGTTTTCATGTATTTCCATTTCACCTTTTCCCCATACTGTACTTGAAACAAGGGTACGATTAAGATTGAGAAAAATTCAAATTTTAAGGAAAATTTTAATTCTAAGCTCGCATTTCCGCAATTGGCTGTCTGATATCTTGTTTGTCGAATATCCTATTGTATATAACTAGCTGTCAGTTTTCCACAGGTAAATAAACACATAAATATAAATTATTTGTTTTGTTAGATGGCCCTCTATTCGGCGGACATTTGGTTAACCGTACTTATTACGTTACTTCTTCTTATTATTTTTAACTTCGGATGCTTTGCAGCAGCCGTGTCTCCCCGTGACCACCGCTGCTGCAAAGCATCCGAAACGTCGGGCCGAAGTTAAAAATCATTTTCAAATAATTTTAACTAATATATCGCGTTTTGAACCGTTAAAGTATTTTATTTAAATGGATCATATCATATCAATAGGACAGCTCAATTAAATATAACAACGCGGTGGTTCATAGCCGGTTCAAGTCCAGATCTTTTCGTAAATATGCTTCAATATAAAATCAATTTTTAATTGATTGAAATTATTTACAGGTAAGACCGACTGTGTAATGTTTTCTTGAGAATCAAACCTGTGCTTAGGACATTGGAACGCTTTTAACCTTTCAACTTGAACCGTAGCGTTTCGTGCTGTCGAACCAATTGAGTTATCCTAGGTTTCTACCTAGGATAGTTCAATTCGTGATCCGTTTTACTGTACCGATGGACAATGTTATATTTTCCAGAGACTCGAACCCGCGCTAAACACATTGTTAGAACACATTTAACGTTTCCAAAAATAAATGTCATAATAGAACTTCACACGTGGTTTCAAGATGTGTCACATCTCTCACCGGAAATACGAGAGCGATATATCTGCGCCCCCTGCGACGCATTTCAGTCATCCACTAATAAGCATACGGGAAAGTAATCTAGACAAAAGTTTATATTTAGACAGATAGGAATAGTTCGAAAGGTGAGCTTCGAGCGGCCCCACAAGTTAAAAATACGTACGTCGCCCCAATGCGCGTACTACCCGCTCCCCTATGGTTCTGAGGACGATACAATTTCTTGTTATTCTTCAAGTAATGCACGCGATGTGTTTTTATCACTGTTAAGTAATGGACATGTTAATTAAAAGAAAATATCAATCATACTTTTAAGATCATTCTGTAATGCTTTCGCAAAAAAGTACGTTTCAAAACGTTACTCCACATCTTATTGGCCATGATGGCAGTATATAAATTAAATATCGGCTTTAGATTTTTCATCTATCCCACAGAGTCTAAAAACAAAAGCGTTTAACCAGTGTATCCTACCCATCATGACATATGGAGCCGAGACTTGGAATCTTACTTGCGAATTGATCCACAAGTTAAAAGTAGTCCAACGTGCCATGGAGAGAGCTATGTTAGGAATATCTCTTGCGGACAAAGTTCGAAACAAAGTCATCCGCCAAAGAACGAAAGTGACGGATATTGCTAGCAAAATAGGCAAGTTAAAATGGCAATGGGCTGGGCATGTCTGCAGAAGAGAAGATGGTCGTTGGAGCCGACATATACTAGATTGGAGACCACGATTAGGCAAACGCAGTGTAGGACGACCTACAGCACGGTGGACAGATGACCTGAAGAAAGTGGCCGGCAGCCAATGGATAAATAGAGCTCAAGAGAGGGCCGAGTGGCATGCTTTGGGAGAGGCCTACGTCCAGCAGTGGACCCAAACGGGCTGATAATGATTTAGATTTTTTATGCCACGGGCAGGACTTGAATCGCCATCCACTGCATTTTGTGCTCTAAACAATTGAGCTACCGTGTCTTAAACGCAAATTAAATGTTTTTTTTATTTATCTTCCCGATTAATATTTGCAGATAATTTCCATCAACGAAACAAAGTCCCATGCCCCATGTAAGGTTATTCACTATGTAATAATATTGCTTCTTTGTTTGTTGCAAAGTTGCAGTCTTGGCCTATGAGCTCGTATATCGCACGCTGTCACATATCTATTCGAAAACGTAGTTGATGCGACCAAAATAGCTTACAAAGGAAACGACTGGCGCCAAAGGTGGATCCGGGTGGTCATACCTTGCAAGACGGTGCATATATGGAGACGCAACGCCAAGCCACAATAATATATGGTAGACCATAGTGACATATATGTCAAAATATTTCCTTGATTTTATCTACTATGCGTAATTTTTAAATGTATTTTTATTAGATGTTTGAATTGGTAACTAATTGACTAAGACACTTTTTAACCGTTTAAAATGCAAATTTTTGCGTCAATTCGTTTTTTACTTATATTGTCATTTTTTCCGAAATATTTTAAGTTGTATTGATTATATAGGCGCCAGTCCGCATAGAACATAAATAGTGTTTTAAAACAGATGAAAAGACAAGTTTTATATAAGGAAAGTTCTACTACGCGAGTTAAAACGTGATAAATATATATAAAATATAAAAGCTGGTCCGTAAGTTGCTGATTTTTACAAGATCAGAAAGAAATGGCAAAGAGAGTGAAGATCGGTTTCTCCCCATCGCACGTCTTTAATGTTTTTTATCTTCACGAGAGTTTAACATGAAAATTGAAAAAGTGTTTAACGAAAAAACTTCGGGCGGTAGTTAATGAAAATAAGTTTAACTTTCGCGTTTCAATCCGTTAAATATGTTTTATTAAAAAGTATTTAACGTGTTCCAATGAATAGAGCTCGCTGATCGGGGGTTTAAGTTTTATTCAAATAAGTTTACATAATAAAGAATAATTACAATAAGATAATTAATATAATAATATATTTTAATTAGACGGGTTGCAGAGCATTGCGGTAAGCGAGATTCGAATTCCGGGAAAAATAAATTGTAGGTCATAGACGTCTGGTCAACTACTTGTTAAAAAACCGACGGGTTCGACTAGATACTGTCTGTGGTAGTTAAAATAATGATCAAATAAGTTTAACTGATATACATCGCGTTTTAAACGGTTTATTTAAATAGCTACTAGGTTATGGATGGAGACGAATTGCAGAAGCCTGAATGCATTAGAGGCCCCCAGGGCTGCATCACACCGATAGATGGTGCTTACGTCATTTCGCGGAAAACGCGGTGTCGCCTGCCTAACACCCGATTTATATTTCATAGCCGATTAGTCAAACGGTCGACCGTGGGCATTACAATACCATCCTACCACCAGACCAATATCGACCCTATCACGACTCGTTACCAACTACATTGAATGGATAGAGGGTATCTTATAAGATTCGTGGACAATGTCGATTTGCTTCCGATAAACGTCGTTCTGCTTTGTTTTTACATGTATTATGACGTGGAGAAGTTAAATTTATTTATTTAGGCCACGTTCTACTGAAACCGAATAGACTTATGAAATTTTCAATTCACCTAATATTAAAGTAGGTAATGTTTCGAACCAAATAAAAAAAACTATATACTAAAGAAACATGAAATTTACGATGCAAATCTATTGTTAACTTAAGTTGATCATTTGTTTGTTTAAGTTTTTTGATATACATTGACCATAAAATAGAATGTAGTTAAAAAAACTATGCCATCAGTTGTGTAGCGCAAACTTTATTTTATTTTGTGTGACCGTGTCGTAACGTTAAATTATTTGTTAAAAAATATTTTGGTATTAAATCTGCCGCGATAGAAAAAAATGCCTACTATGAATGGATGCTAAGCTGCTATTATTATTATTTTTCCTTTGTTTATACTAGTTTATGTCTACAAAATAAGAAACTGGTCCAAATCTTTTGTTTTTCCCGTATTATTATAATGAATTCTGAATGCCACATGAAATGTAAAGTATTCAGTTCTCACGGAAACGGAGTCCCGCAACAAAAGGTACGATACTGTATGTAAGTCAAGGATGTGATACGTCTTGGACCGTGGGAGAGACCCCGTTTGGCGCAGCGCACGTGAAACCGACTCTGAAGCGAACGCCTGAAATATACGCGTCGTTCGCGAACTGAAAGAACTAGATGTCAAAATGAGGACAACCATTCATTGTTTAAATCATTCGTTCGTTCATTTGATAGCTCCGTCGCGGTGCTTTCAAAATTTCGATAATTACCCTAACGGGTCAAACGAACCGGATCATTTTATAATGGGTCCCAAATTGATTCAGTTCCTTGCGATAGAACACACGACACGTGCTTAGACTGAAACACTATCGTTGTGAACAGGAAGTGATATAAATGGAGTTAAAACTAAATTTTTATATTTTATACCCTACTTATAATCAAAGGCGCCGTTAGGTCTTTCACATTAGTTAGGCTACGGTAGTAAGGATACTAGATACCAAAATAACATTATGCTACCGTGGGTTAAATGATACTTTGGAGTTATGTAGTATTTAGCAGGTCAGTCGAAATTATAATATGACAAAAGGAGACAGACAAGTTTACTTGATGAAGTAAATATTCTTATAATCAAAATATCTAAACGAGGTAGGTACCTCCATTAATTAACTACTACACTTTGAACGTTCAGAAATCCACAATACAAGCAAAATAAGAAGGCTTTATTCTATGTGAACGCTTGTTCACGACCAATTTTAATATTCCTACCACCGTTTCAATAACTAGATTTTACGCGAAGTCTAAGAGGTTTCGGAAAAATTGTAAAATGATTTTTAAAAACACGATGGACTTGGTGGTAACAGAATTCATGGGCAAGAGATATTTAGAAAAAAAAAATAGCTGAAATTTAGCGGTCCTTTTGAAATACTCCAGTACATTTCAGGCTGGTGTGAAGCACAGATTACACCTACAAGATGTATGAGAGATAAGTATTGTGTTTACTAAAAGGTGTATTCTCACGCGCAAGATGTTTATATTCTGTGATCAAATAATACTGTCGCAATACCAAGTAGGGATATACTTTTTCGCTTATTATTTATTAAATAAAATATCACTTGGTCCCTGGGACCATGGCTTTTGTGAAGCTTCTGAAGTTAAAAATTAATTAAATAATGTATTTCGCATTATATTGGAGAAATATGACTAACTTGAGTCAAATTACACTCAGTTAAATTTTAATTTAAGTATTTACAAAATATATCGCTATAATCTGAAACCAGTGAATTTTTATATTTGTGCCTCTCGTACGCTTCTGTTCGTGTGAAGTGAGTCTTAACTTTTGAAACGAAAATAATTATTTAATAATGATTTCTTCTTCAAATAATTAGTTGATTTTAAAGGAGAAGTATTTTTAGAGTTTTTATGTTTTTTTTTATTATATGTTTTCTTTACTTTCTAAATTACCTACACAACGTGACGTTATCCCATATCACCTAAACAAGAAACCCTCAGAGGGCGACAACAGGAGGAGCGAGGGGGTGGAGGGCGGTGCGCGGGAGCAGGAATATTCAAAGCGTGAGAACGCCGCGCGACCCGCATGCCGCGACTTCACATATCTCACGCGCAACCTCACCGCGCACCGCGGAAAAACAAACCGTATGTTTATATGCGTAAAGTCGCAATTGTCTTTTCCCATTCAGTTATCGCTCAGAACATTCGAGGACAATACTTTTCTAGTGTAGGTACGACTGGCATTGGCCCGGATACTATTGATGAACGATCGTCCAATCTCAACGAAGGGTTATGTATCAAAATATCGTCCTTTGAACTACTTACGTAATTTCCATTATTAGGAAACTTTCAATAAAACACTAGTAAAGTGAGCGAGTGTATGTACTGGAGTGTCTCATGTAATAAAGTGTCTGTATGTTTGTTTGCATCTAAATACCGCCTCGGTGATTAAGCGGAACGTAAAAACATGATAGCCACGTTCGTTAATCATGTGACTGGAAGCCGTGGGCAAAGCTCGACGTCAAAAAATGCGAATCAGCATTAATGGTCCTTTTATTGTCAGTCGTTGAAACGCGCTGTGGGCGTGTCGTAAAACATTCTCTTTCGTGAATAACTAGGGACCGATTTTATTTTTGCGGTGAACAGTAATTCGCGGAATGGGTTTTATGTACGAAAAAGAAAATAATCAATTCCCTCTGCGAACGCCACTGGCGGCGTTGACTGGGTCACTTCTTTAATTTTTTATAATTTGAAGTTATTAATTACAATACAATTTTGTAAAATTCTCTGAAAATAAATAATGCAAGCACACAGAACTTACAATATCAACAATTATACAACATAGCGTAAAATAAATTGTCAGTATTTAATAAAACACTTTAACGGTTTAAAACGCGATATACATACTTATTAGTTAAACTTATTTAAAATTATTTTTAACGTCTCCCCGTGACCACGGCTACTGCAACGCATCCGAAGCGTCGGGACGTAGTTAAAAAAAATCAAATAAGTTTCACAAATATATATCGCGTTTTAAACCGTTAGTGCTTTATTTAAATATGTACTACTCGCGTAAACTACAGCCAGTATTAAATTGACAGTAAGTTTGAATTAAGAAAATGTTAAAACTAGAATATGCGTAAGACGAAGAGGCTCGCGAGAGCGCACGTTTAAATTTGGAATTCCGAGGTGGTGAAAAAACGTCTCCCTATTAGGGGTGAGTGTGTGTGCGGTTGTAGTTTTCGGCGGGGCCCCGGGCATCGACCTCGTGAAAGACCCGCCGGGCGCTCGCCTTTTTACGCGCTCTTTCCCGCCGCGGCCGCCAACCCCGCGGGCCCCTGGCGGTCGCCGCCCGCAGATAGCGAGCCAGCTGTCACCAATCGATGTTCCGTCTGACTCGCGTATTATTTTTCGCGAATTGTTTCGATTCCTTCACATTTGTATATACGCTGATTTGAAGCAACAATTTGTTAAGAACAGATATTGTGCATGTAAGTTACAAGTTTATTGCATTCACACAGTAATAATAGACTTGGTGTATTATGTGGCGCCAATGTCTTGTAGGTATTGAATGAATTGTGCGGTTTGCAACTCTAAGTATAATTAAGGTTATGACCTAGTATATAGAGGAATACATTGATATTAAGTAAAATCATTTTTTAATGATTTATCGTCGACTTCATGGTTTAAAAATATAGTAAGTTTTTTTGTAAAATAAAAAAAAACCTCGGGAAAGCGGGCCGCGGTTTGGCGTCCCCTGGCCGCCGCTCCGCCGCCGCTTCGCCCTAATTAAACAATAATCGAAAAACTACAATGAACGGGCGCGCGGCTCCGTCCTAGGTGTCCCGCCTCCCCCCCCGCCACCCCTCACCATCCGCTCCGCGCCACCCGCGCGCCTCATGACGTCACTATTGCACTCCTCATTATCGCCTCTCTATGATGTCCGATGGTTAAAACCAACAATATTTCAAAAATCGAATACGCTTTTTCGCTTTAAAATATACTTGCTGTTTGTTGCCGATACATCGTTCGTTATTGTAATTGTATATAGTATTATGCAATATTAAACAGAAATCTATAATACAATTAAATTATAATATCTTGTCATTGATGATAGAGAATAATCAAATAGTTTTGATCAAAAGACTCACATCATACACCAGCGTTTCCATCGCCGATGTTGCTCGTGTCTGTGAAAACGTGAATGAAGTCAAGCGGTCATAGATCCAGCGTCTAGACTCGCGGAGCGGGCTAAAGACCAAACCTCACTCGCTGCTTACGAAGCACGCGATACTAAATCATTAGCGAAGTCGCGAGTTTGCACAACGCACAAGCTGAAAGGCGTTTGGCGCGATATATTTAACGCGGATCACTTTTGAACGTCTATTAAACTAACAGCGCTATAATTATAACAAATTAGAAACGTAAGATGTTCAGATTTTAAAAATAAGTCTAGACTAAATAAACTGGCTGTGCTGTTGCTGTACCAATTAAGCTGCCGTTCATGAATTCTAGTTCTAGTTGTAAAATGACACAAAAAAATATTTAACTTCGCAAACAACAGCGAGTGGGTTGGGATTTTCCATAAGAAAACGTTGGAAGGATCAATCCACATGTCTGCTGGGTCCCTACAAAAACGCGTAGGTACATACACTAATAACGGTTACGCGCGGTGCGTCAGACTGCGTCATTAACGCCTAGATCGCATCGCGTCATGACGTCACGCCTCCACTCTGTAAGTCAGAACCGTGATTGATGCTATTTTCATGTGTTAGTAAATATTTCCTGGCCTTTGATTTTTATGTAATCTTATTTTGTGTCAAAATCATTTCAGAAATGATAAGGTTTACATTGGCGTTTACGTAGATGCAGGAAAATTTTAAATTCCAGGAAAACGGTGGGAAATTTCGAGTTTTCATTCACTCCGTCTGACGTCAGCAGCCCTATCTTCTGATTATATTGTAATATACCGTACATATTTACATCATTCACATTTACGTAGATTGGGTGAGATAGTGTGTCTCTGTGACCCGGGTTTTAACTTTTAACAAATAATTATTTGTCAACGGAATTTAAATAAGTTATATATTGTAAGTAGTTTTTGGACACACAGAAAAACACGTTTACTGATTTCACAAAAATTTCCAGGGCACACCTAAACTTACTGGGGTCCCATTTAGACATAAGTTAACATATATAAAAACTGTTTTATTTGTTCAGGTTTAATTTAAAAACAGGCCTCTTAAAACTGAAAACACCGACTTTTTAGCTATGAGAGTTTTTATCAAACAAGATTTCTATAACATTTGAATATTATCTACATAAAGAGATATTGTTTAATGGTCGTGAAGACGAGCTGTCTCCTAATTGATCAGGAAAATACGAGGAACTTATTGCATCTGCGCTTCGGACGATTGACCCGACAAGTACAATCTCTACACCCTATTAAGATGGTGAATGTCTATAGTGAGTCACGCTAAGTTTTATTTTCTTTTGGGGACACCGAACGCCGGATTAGTCCACAAATTGAAAAAAAATACGACCCAGGTGGCACTAGAACCGGCATCCACAACGTTCCCTTTTGTTACTGTAACCAATTGAGCTACCACGTCAACTTTTCAATTTATAATCGATTTTTAATTTATATAGTGCCATCATGTGAAAAATATTAGTTTTCGAAGTTGATGGCTATTCCCGTAAACCAATAAAAGTGAATCATTAAACAACCATACTAACTTGCAACTCGTAGAACAATAGGAAAACCTGATTATCCACGAATGTTGGACCAAAAAGTTCGAATATTGCTCATAACTAACTGTGACACGGACAAAGCCGAAGCGTTAAGCTTACAGAAAAACAGGCCGAAGCTACTTAGAAAACATTGTAATATGCAAAAACTGTGATTAACCGTGGTAGTATGTAAGTGGGAAATACACTTTTATAATTCAGCAATAGTGAGACAAGTGTCATATATGCAAAGTGTGAATCATTGCTGCCGTCAGAACAAGTGTATTTTGACTAAAGGTTCGATCGGCCAAGTCAATGTGCCTTTCGTAAGTTTCCTAACATTTTATTAGTATTTTGTAATGTTGATCAAAATGTCAAACTTTGACAATATTCGGCTTCGGTTAAAAGCCTACCTTTTAAATACTGTCTATAGTTTACGCGAGTAGTACACATTTAAATGAAAAACTTTAACGGTTTAAAACGCGTGACCTCGGCTGCTGCAAAGCATCCGAAACGTCGGGCCGAAGTTAAAAATCATTTTCAAATAAGTTTAACTAATATATCGCGCTTTAAACCGTTAAAGTGTTTTATTTAAAAGCCTACCTTTTAACCAACAATGATAAGGTATGAAAATGGCTAGGAGTTATAAGGCTGCTAGAGGCAGAGTGACCTAAATACAAAAATCATGATTTTCAATAAGGAGTAAAATAAAAATACGCAACTTAGGCGAAAACTAATTTGTACTGTTATTTGTGTAAGAATTATGTTAACAATTTTCGGTCACTGTGCTCTTGTAGATTAACATTTTTAGACTATGAAAATTTAAAAAACTCGTTAATATTTCAGTTAGGCTATTCTGCCTCTAGCGGCTCATATATTATCGTATCGACCATCTGAAAATTAGCGAGTATAGTATAGTACATAGTGTAGGTACTCAAAACGAAAATTTAAAAACATGAATTCTTACGTCATCACAATTCAGAACTACGGCGCGTATACGGTGACCCAAGATGTTAGTGTTGTTAAACCATAACTTTCATATTCCATCGCATCAACATACATTGCATCCACGTTTACCATTCGGTCGTTTTATGGGCAAAAGCCAATCTATATGTATCATAATAGCGTGGTTAAGTGTGAGTGACTAAATAAAACAACGGTTTAAAACGCGAAATATATCAGTCTATTTATTTTTGGTTAATTAAAAATCGATTTTAGAATGAACAACATAGGAACGACTTGAACGGGCATCCACATCGTTCCGTGCTTCTGCTCTAACCGATCGAGCTACAGTGTATAATATGCTACAATTTTTTTTGCAAGAAAATTATGTAAGGATTTAAAAAAAATCCTATTGATCGATATGGTGCATAACTCAAAAAGTATACACAGGATAGCTCCACAGATAAAACATCAAGCTGATAAGAAAGAAGTGAGTGCATTTACCGTGACAGGCAGGTGCGCACAGACTGCACTCTGCGCGTCTGCGCACTGCGAACCCACTTCCGACCGCGTATCCACGACACCACGGATCGCAACAATAACTATACTATAAGCGACATTAGACCTTCTGGCTTGGACGCAAAGTACATTTTACACCAAGAGCAGAACCTCCAACAAAAACGTTCTCTCGATGAAAGTAAGCACAGCGGTAGTTCGAAGATCCGCAATGAATTCTACTTAGCCGATACGTGCCGCGCGTACGTACTTTACAGTGGAATGCATCGTACTTACTGTTTACTCATGACGCGGGTTAATGCGTAGTTAGCAGAGCTTCAATCGTATGAAGACCGCGGTTCGACAAAAACATGCATTTTTAAGATACTTAACTAATAGCGCCTCTTTCCTTCAATAGCTCTCGCGTCAAAAAATGATTTTTAGACAAATAAGCTTTACTAATAAAGGCTGGGCATTGAAGTAAATAGGCGATAATTGGTCCTTACATATTCCATACAGCTGCACCGTCCATGCCAGATTACGTTCGGTTCAGCACGTGTTCGCGGTGCAACGTGCGTGGGGCGCAGGCGCACAACACTGACTGCAGCTGAGAGGGGCACCCCGCCCTCTGACCGCCACACATAGATTGTCAACAAACACCGGCCAAATGAATGGAAATGAGCCCGGAGGCGCCTCGCATTACACAGCGTCGAATGCATTGCCCTATATTTCGCCTTATTCGCTCGTTTGTATGGCACTTTTTATAAGATTACGCAAGGACAGAACACATTTCAATTACGAACAGATTAATTTTAAATTATATAACTAATAATGGCTTACATAACGTTTATATTATGTCCAACTGTTACCTTTGCACATAAAGAATAGGAAGGTAAAATTAAATCTAAGAAAAAAAGAAACAGACTATAAAATACATTTGCCAACAAAAAGCCTAACTTAAAGTTACCTCTCTAAATATTTACATCTACTAGGTAAGGTGTATTTTAGTAACACATCAAAGCATTATAACATACCTACCTATATTATGTTTATAGGAAGCACTATTGATTGGAATGGGTTAGTTGAACCAATAGTGGTAACGTAAAGTTAGCCAAACTGTCCAGTCTTCGTTTCGCTCAGATTTTGAAAATATTTTAAGCCGTGTTTTTTTCTTATAAATATGTTAAATGTATAGAAATTCTCAATGTGTGGTGAAATATACAAAGTACACCTAGACACCAAACACCAGCGAAAAAGCTATTAGTATAAAATTGGAGTTCAGTGTCAAGAGTTTCCTGAGCTTAATTAGAATTTATAGGGAAATTTCACCAGCCATCAACCATTGTTTGTCCGTTATATGTACTAGAAAAATAAACTTTAAAAGGCTTTACAAAATAGAAAATTTAATTGAAATACAATGATGTAGCTACGCATCACATCTACTCTACGCAACACGCTACGTACACAGTACCTACGGTAAATTGTGGAGTTCCTACCATATAACTCTCGTAAGACAATGTTATTTTTCGTATCAAAGTTATTAATCGTATAAAAAAACTAAAAATAAAAATCGATTTTAAATTGAAAATGGTTTGCGACACGGGCAGGAATTGAACCGGCATTTACAGCGTTCCGGTTCAAGTTAAAATTATTTTTTTTATTTATACATTAAGCATCATATGCAAAAACATGTAAAAAAAGATCTGAGTTAAAAAAAATAGTTATAAATAAAACACTCTTATCGTCCTCAAATGACATATATAACCATCCGAAGCGTTAAGATTTAGATAAGTAATATATATCTCGCTTTAAACCGTTATAACTGTTTTTGTGTTATTTCAATGTGCGCTACTCGAATGCTACAAATATATATTTTAATACCTATACACGTTATTATTAGGTAAAATACACGTATACCTAAAAAATACGAATTACGATAGTTAAAATTAAATGCAATACCAAAAACAATAGGCAAGGCAACAAAAGTCGTAAATCTTAATACCCGGGGTTACATTTTTCCTTTGGTCTCTTATTTTATTAGATAACTCTGATATATGGGCGAGGGCAGTTCATTGTGACATCATAAATATAGGGTCCTAAATTAACACTCGAGAACAAAGGGTAAATAAAAGATATTAATATTTGAAATAAAATGTATATTAGATAAAGGAAAGCAAGGTATATGAATGCTAAGGAGAGTAGGGTATAAAGTTATGCAAGATCGTAAATGTCTGCCATAAGTGAGTCAACGTGTGTAAATAATTGAATATTTAAGACAATTCGTACTGTTCGTCAAATTCCAATTCACATTCTACTCACAAATGCATCGCGGTATGTTCGGCCTTATATTGGTGCAGCTGCGCACGCGCAAGTATTCGGGAATCGTGTTTGGGTTCGAGGGCGGGGTCATCGACCGTGAAGCGCCGGCTCCCTTCCTTTTCTAGTGCAATTCCTGTCGTTTGTCACGTCATCCGCTGCATTCATCTTATTATCTTCCTTTTAACTCTACTCAGTTACCTATATGTATTATTTCTATAAATATAATACAGATAGACACTTTTATTAGTACAGCAAATACATATCTAACTAAATAAAGCTGAACAGTTTGTTAGTTTGAACGCGCTAATCTCGGGAACTACCGGTTCGAATTGAGAAAATATCTTTGTGTTAGTTAAACCTTTTATCGAGGAAGACTATAGGTTATAAAACATCGCACTGTAGCTAATACAAGCGAAGATAAAGCGAGAAATGTGAAAAAAAAATGGGAAAATCATTACAGGTTTCCGAGGCGTACGCTGCAGAAACGGTTCAAGATACCCCAAAAATATGTATGCAAGAATTATTTCTCTTTAAATGATCTAAAAAAAGATCCTCGACGCTATATGTCTATCTTCTAAGATTAACTAGCAAGAACGACGTGAACGCAATCGACGTCGTGGGTAACAGCCTACGTTTATAAATCTGAAGGGGTTTGCGGTGATGAAAAACCTTTTTGATGCCCTAAATTTTCATGATGATGCCCACATTTGGACTCCCAAAAATAAATATTCTTAGCGGACGAAGTCGCTGAACGCAGCTAGTTAACAATAATATCAATCATGGTTATTTGTTTGTAAGGAGTATGAATAAAAGTATCAGATGCTGCATACTTCATGTATTACAATAATAAAGTAGGTCCAAATTTCAAAATAATCATAAGTAATGTTTCACTTAAAGTTTGGTCAATATTGTAGTTAATAAGTACTTTGTACGTATATGATATTGGATTTAACTGTTTAGCGGTTAACAATTCATCCAATATGTAAAATTTTAATAATATAGAAATAATAAATAACTACATATATATATATATATATATATTGCTTTGATTCCTTAAATATCTAAACACCTAATACTACAACCTAAGATAAAATCAATCAAATCACTGACGCTAATGTATATAAAATAATATATTTAATAATTGCTTTTATAAACTTGAAAAATAAACAATCTACAATACTTTGTTAATTTCATTTGTACCTCAGTACTGTTGTCAATATTTGAAACTCACGGTTTTGTGCGACAATCCGATCGGTTGCTTATAAAAATAAATTCTATATTAAGTACATAACTACTTAACATTAAATATTTACAGAATTTGGCAAATCTCGTTAAAACCTTACAACTGAAATGCAACTTCTTGAATTTGGTAGAATGGTTAAATATTAAACGTCATTGTGGAATCCCACATTTAATACTGTATGTAGTCTACGCGAGTAGTACACATTTAAATAAAACACTTTAACGGTTTAAAACGCGATGTACATTAGTTAAACTGATTTGAAACTTCGGCCCGAGGTTTCGGATGCTTTGCAGCAACCATGGTCAAATAAATTTACTATTATATATCGCGTTTTATACCGTTAAAGTGTTTTATTGAAATCTCCAAATTGTTTGTCAAAAATGTTACGGAGTAAACAATACTATTTACTTTGGTGTTGTTAATACTAAAAATCGGTTGTATTAGAACAGCTAGTAAGTAAGTTGCATTAGGCTAGTTCGTGGGGGGAAGGCACTGCGTGGCAATTTGCGATTCTTCTTATCCAAGTCCAACGTCTAGGCACATCATCACTAAGAAACCGATGATGCAGCCCCACGTCGCCAGTTTGCCGTTGCCGCTGTAACAAAATTCTCAATAAATCTAGTGCTGACTAATATAGAACAATAAATCAATTTCATGGTTCTTTAGGCATTTTAAAAATATATTATATACTGTCTGTTGTTTACGCGAGTAGGACACGTTTAAATAAAACACTTTAACGGTTTAAAACGCGACATATTAATTATATTAATTATATTAATTTGAAAATGATTATAAGCCGTGACCATGGCTGCTGCAAAGAATCCGAAACGTCGGGCCGTAGTTAAAATAAATTTCAAATAAGTTTAACTAATCAATATCGCGTTTTAAACAGTTAAAGTGTTTTATTTAAATACCTACTTAACGGTTATACGCTTTAGAACGCAATGCTTTAGGTTTCGGATGCTTTACCGTGATATGACGTCTTTACACAAAATAAACGTTGTTAAATAATTTATTTCGCCTTTTAAACCGTTAAGTGTAGTTTTATTAACATGAATTACTCGTGTAAACTACAGACAAAACTTATAAGACATTATGGTTTTTAATTTTTTTTATTGTTTTTACCAAATGTTATGTTATAGATTTCATATAAATGTTATGTTATAGATTTCATACAAAAATACATTTTTAGGGCGAGGCAAAATGAACAAGAGTACATGTAGACTTTTGTACATGATACAACATAATTATTGGAAACATTAGCGGTTCCAAGTCCGTCGACTTACGGCTAGTACCATACAATGCGTCCGATCTGCATATTCAAAATAACTAGCCACTCGGCCCGTTATAAATGTAGTCGTCATAGCGGGCCATTGAGAAATATCAGGGACGACGCATGAATATCAAGGAGGCAGCGAAATTACGATATCGGAAAGGCCCGGCGATGGCGCTTGCGCATCACGCACTCGGATTTATAGAAACAATAGTCATTGACGGCACGCCGGGGTCCGCTAGCTGGAATTATAGCCCATTATAATAAAACGATTCCTCGTACTTGCGTGTCGTCTGTTAGCCGGATAGTATTGTTAATCCGATCGCGCATCTAATACCGAACTGTGCGTATGCGCAGATTTGTTCATACTTTTAGGCTTTGTTTTAAAGAAAGATTTCTTCAAGATCAAGTTTTTTAATAATCGATAACAAGGAATGCTTTGGATGCCGTTTCAAGTCCTGTCCGTGTTCTTAACCGCGACTGTACAATAAATGAGATTTTCTAGATTTAAATTCGGAGGAAAAAAAATAGTTTCGGTATCTTGTAAAAAAAAAGATGATCGCTTAAATTGACACAGTTATGTATCTGCCTCGAGCTTCACTTAGGCAAATGGGATTTTGTATAACAATTATGTAGATAGTAATCAAAACCTATGGTCACATCTATCAAACGCTTGCTCAAGCCTATTTTTACTCGCAGCATGCGTACATGGCTTCTTCATGTAACATAACTCGTCGCCGACTGTATGCCGATCACGTCCCGACTGGGGAACACCAGCTGAGCACACGACGCAACTGAATACCGACTTCTGACATCACGCCCAAAATTGACTTTAAACGCCTAGGTTACAAAATGTTGGCAAAAACTTTTCCCTGAGCTGTGTCCCTGATAGAAGACACGAGGAATCGCCTCTCAGTAAGTCTCAGCGTTAAAACGCAGTGACGCTATAGCTGTTCCCGCAAAAATGTCCTTTACACAGGATCAGATTTATCTGGAGGTAGGTCAGGAACTGGCGCGCTGGATTCCCAGACGGTGACGTCAACGTTTAGACAAACTAGAGCGCCACCGGCGGCCTTATCCCGGTAACAAAAGTGTTATTCTATATATTTATTATTATTGACACTGGCGAGACGACAAACCCACGCATGCACCGAATTTACTTTATACTGCGGCACCGAAGCCCGTCGCTGCAAATAGACGCGCCGCCCTATCCGCGCACACGAATAAATGTCTCGCGCGCTGCGTACGCGCAGACATCAAACAAAACATATCATAATGTGGTTTTAAATCATCACTTTAAAATTTATTCGCCGACTACAAAGAGCAACAATCCCGCCGACTTCGAGTGCGATTGCCGAGGCTCTCTTGCGCATTTTTTTTTAATTTTTAATATTTACAATGCGAGGACAGCTGCATCGTCTGTGCCAAATCTTTGTGGATTTATGTGTTATGTCGCCCCTATCACTTTTAAAGCGACACTTATTAGTCACATTCAGCGTGAAATTATAATGAATAGTGGGGTGATAAATGTATACACAAAGTTACATATATTTCGTCAGTGTGTTTTAAAAACACTGCAATTTTATTCCTACTGAGCAGAAATAGGTAACTATTTTCTTTTTCATATTGCAGCCCTCTTAAATTAGTTACTTAATTTCTTAAATCTTTGTTCTTAAAGCGGCAATAGGCCGATGGACAGACAGACATCGCCGTCTTAGAAATAGGTACCCGTTTTTACCCTTATGGTACTTAACCCCAAACGGCAGATTTTTTGTCGGTTTGAAGGATTGTGAGATGGTTGTTAAATGAGTTTGAAACTTCTCGAGTTACCTGATATTGGAACAATGAAAGATCAAATAGGAATCCCATAAGAATCCGAACAGGCGTGTTACGCAGTACTGGCGTCCGGGGTGTCAGACGGCGCGCCGCTATTTCTGGACATTATTTGAGTCGCCGCAACGACTCTATAAATAATTAATTGTGCTAGATGCATCGTGCAAAAATTCACGCGCAGAACGCCAGTGGGAAAAGACGGTCTCTCAAATGAGAATAAATGTCAAGTTTCTCGTCTTTCATCTTGTTTAGCGCACAGCTTTGGTATCTATAGTTTACGCGTTCAGTACACATTTAAATAAAACACTATAACGGTTTAAAACGCGTTTCGGATCCTTTGCAGCAGCCGTGATCACGAGGAGACGTCGGGCCGAAGTTAAAAATAATTTTCAAATAAGTTTAACTAATATATCGCGTTTTAAACCGTTAAAGTGTTTTATTTAAATTTATTTGCTATCTAAAAGTTTTGTTTTTATTTTGGGAAGTCTACTAATCGCTTGACAGCAGTATTATTGTTAATACATTCGTAAGACTACTCAACTGTGTTTTTGTCCGGAACAGCGTTATTAAAATAACCTTTTAATTAATGGAAAAAAAAGCAAAAAATAACCCTCATCAAAATGCTAAGAAGTTTCTAAGCTGTGCGTAGATATGCGTCCTTAGATTTTTATGTACTTTATGTTTTCAACATTATTTTGTGTCTTTTTGTTATTGGTATAGGTGATTAATGAAACCCCCGTTATTTTTTTTTTTTTTTTTTAAAAAAGATTTTTTTGGGGGGAGGGGGGGGGCCCCCCCCCCGCATTATTCACTACGACGTAGGTATCTGTTAAGTTTTACCAATTGATCCGAAAAAAGGAGATCCATATTTGGAATTAATCACATAAATCGTTTGTATCGCTGGATCGGATCTGTAACGCGACGGCCGTTTTCGTGTGAATGAGTTTCGATACGGCAATAATCGATACGATTCATGCAACTCGATTACAATAAATTTACGATTATGTGCGAACCCGTTACCTACCTAATAAAATAACGAATCGCCGCGAGTACGAACGGACTTTCGGCGTTACGTAACGCCTAGCGAAATCGTGAGAAAATATGCAAGAAATGCCAATAAGATCGATAAATTGGAAAATTATAAGCGATATTAATCACTGAGAAAGTGTTAGCGTTGGATTTATAAGCCGCAGCTAGCCGCAGCGCCCGATTCTCGTTAAAAGTTGAATGTCCGTTTAAGCTTTCCTTCTTTTTGAAAAGCAGCGTCGAAACGTTTTTAGTCAGTTCATATGAATGACTTTTGTTACGGAGCATCTGCAAATCTTAATAAAGCATTTTAGTAAACTGTAAATAACCACTGGACTTATTCTTCGGACGGAAGGGACGAACTGGTTTCAGACAATATGAGGCGAACAATCGCTAAATCGTTACTAAGGGGAAGTGGGAATCTTCGTCGCTAACGAGCGCTCTTCAAGTCTCAATCTTCGAGCGACGCCAACAGGGGTTGGCCAATTATGGTGGGATGTCGCAGTTTCCACGGGGAGATGTCGCGCCGTAGATATTAATTGAAAAAGGGGCCTCGATATGAATCTATGCAAACATATTATTATTTGCTCGTTATGCGAGCATTTGAAATGAATGTCGCTCGAATTACGCGAGCGCAATAAAGGACATTATCTTGTCTGTAGTGACATTGAAAACCGGGAGGGCCGCGTCTCGCAAGGGTCATGACAAAGAACTACTCCGTTTTGAATTTTTAGGTCATTCTCAAGGACGAACTGATTGTTCGTCTCGATAATGTATGTACATGATGTCGGATAGTACATCCTGTAATAATGATGAATGTAAGTGGGTCAAACATGTCGCTTGCGTTATTTATATGGCGGTAACATTATGGAACGTATTTATAACAGCCAAGAAGCAGTAACGATAGAATTTACCATATATTTTTTTATTCGATCTTTTATATCTCATTTAGAAAAAGTTGATCTTACGCCAAGCATGAACTAAGTGAGAGAAGAAGCATGAAGTAAGTAAGAGAAGTCCGATCAGGAATCATCGCCCACAGATGAAAAAGCCATGAAGTTTAATCACATTTCGGTTTCGTTTCCGAATATCTAAAGCCAAAAAAGGTCGACAGCGAATCTTGTTTAGATGATATAGGCTGTATTTCACCTACCATCAAATGAAGTCCAGGCTTGTGTGTCCTCCTGTATCATTAAAAAAATGCTTATAACCCATGGTGAGAGGCTCGCCACGTGGCTCAACTGTCAGGGCTTCGCATCCCGGATGGGTCATTTTATTCAGGTGAAGATTTACAAAATTAATAAAGGGTGTGTTACAGAAACGTTGAGATGATCCGTAAACATTTTAATGGTTTTATTGAATACTTACGAAGCATTAGCCTCTGGTATGATGTCATCAGCGACGACGTAGATCATCGCACCAGCGGCGAAGGCGAGCGCGTATGGCAGCGCCGGTTGCGCATACGCCACCGCCACCGCGCCCAGAACTCCGAACACTGGCTCGACCATCCCAGATAGCTGTCCATACCTGACAGAACCCAAAAATAAGACATCAATTATTGATATCCAATGAAAGAGCAGATTAAGATCCAGCCGTAATCCCGGCTGATCCAAAAGCATCTAAAACGTGTCGTAGTTAAGAATAAATTATCGCTTAAATACTGTCTGTAGTTTACGTGAATAATACACATTTAAATAAAACACTTTAACGGTTTAAAACGCGGTTTGACTTATGTCGCGTTTTAAGCCGTTAAAGTGTTTTAAATAAAAGCTAGTGCGCGAGTGGTACACATTTAAATAAAACGCGATATATATAAGTTTACCCGCGTTTTAAACCGTTAAAGTGTTCTATTTACAAGTTATCGATTAATAATTTATCAAGTTTGAACGATTAAAATTGTTTTATTGAAATGTGGTTTGCACACATTAACAATAAATTGAGAAATTTCATTTTCTTTTATGGACTTATTCATCTAAACTCATAGGTCGCAAAATCATCGATATCGTAGCGATGTACGGAACATAATGATTCTGGCACAACAGCAGGCCCGCGAACAAGACGTGACCAGAGCTAATGGAAAATTTGGAATTCGCAGGTCCAAATCATGTCGAACAAGTCTCGAAAGAAACAGAATGTCGTCAGATTATGCATCGGAATTTGAATAGCCGCGTCACTTCGACATCGGGCTAAATGCTCCTTCTAATATACAATGTAGCTCTGTCAATGAATTAATTGGGAAGCTGATATGGACACGTTGATGACTCAATTTAAGAAATTTAATAAGAGGTTAAATATATCTATTTCAAATAACAAATGGGAAGTGGAAAATTAAATTACTGTTGGTAGAGTGACGCCCTATGGATAGAGTGCCAAGCAGACCTGACGAATCATTTATATTTAAAGGACTAGATGTCGCCGCGACTTCGTCCGTGTCGAATATTTATTATGGGCATCACAATTTGATATTGCAAACCTTATCATCTTTATAAATTTTAGATTTTACCTACTATATATCGTTAAAGATAGTTTCCATTGTTCGTTTCCCACTGTTTTTTCACTCCTATGAGTCACAACGACGTTTTATAGCTTATAGCCTTTCTCGATAAATGCTCTAACCGATACAAAAATAATTTTTCAATTCGAACCAGTAGTTCCCGAGATTAGCGCGTTCAAACAAATAAACAAACAAACGAACTCTTCAGCTTTATATATTAGTAAGTATATAGATAGATAACAAAACATTAAATTAATATTACTTAAATCGCTTTACTTCAGTTTATACATCCCTAGACATTCTCGGGTCGTTGTCCATAGGGGCTCGTCTACTCAACGTTAATTTTTAGGGGTTTAGATAATGAATGCGTGGAAGCGTCGAGACGGAATTGCGCGGCAGTGGTGAAAGAGGCTAACGAATTGTTTTGGTGAAAGTGCGGGCCGTTGCCGCGACCACATTCCATGGAACTGGTCGCGAAGCCGCCGCTGTGGGAAATGCCGTGTGATGGCGAGCCGCCCATAACCGTGCCCCGACCAAGCAAAATTTATTATGTCAACACGTTTCGTGAGTATCGCTGTGCTGTTAGTGTACTCGCTAACAATTATATGCTTCTACGCTGTATTGCAGACGAGAAATACAATATACGCCGAGATAAGCACAACGACCATAATGCTAGCAAGCGATCTCTTTAGGCAACTCTTTTCTCTCTTCTTTAATCTTTTCGACTCACAATGCGATTTATAATCAAAGGAAAAAAATTCAAAGAGACGACAATTATGTGACGTCAATAAGACAACAGCTCTTCGATAATGAAAGGATATGAAAGGTTTTGGGCATATGTTAAATAATCTGGCAATGAAATGAGAGAATTTCCCGAGCTTTTCATTCGCTTAGCAATCTATGTGTCGACGGCTTAAAAGCAAGGCGCACGACATGACGGCCGTGATGCTATGTAATCGCATGCATTATTCAGCGAGCGGCGAAAGCAGCAATTTGCGACAACATCCTTAGATTCGAAGAATAGCCTCGCTGTAACCGCCGACAGGCCGCTCGCCAGTAACACATAATAGAAGTCGTCGAATAACATTCTAAATAGACGTTTTTGAGAAATTCGACGGTAGTTGGATAAAAGTTACTATTTTGGAGGTAGAAGATTAGACTTTTTAACTTATAGTGATTTCAGTGTTTCACGCTTCATGTACCTCTGTGTATCCAAGTGTAAACATGGTTTTTGATATAATTCTTCTTGTCATTATATTCTTCGATAATACGAGAACAAAACTCATACCAAACTATTAATACTCACATCCTTATAGACAAAGAATATTACGTATGCAAATTAATATTGGACGATGAATTTTTTCCCACGCAGTAAGTAATTGGACGTCATCGATCAAAGAGTAATACGATCGAATAGTCTCGGTAGGTATTCGATAAGGCGTGGCCGCGGCGATATGGGGACCGCGAACCGGCCGCGATTGCGCAGAACATCGCCACCAAGGCTGCGGGCGGCTTCCGCGACCGCGTCTTCAGCGGTGCCTCGCTGTTGCTCTCTCGATTTAATTAGCTCCGAAGGCCGATCGCCCGAGGCAGGCAGCGGGCGGTGCGCAGAGACTGGTCGGACGGGTGCGGTCCGGAAGAGCACGCAGACAGCGCGCCGCCGCTCGCCCGCTCCAATGCGCCAGACTCTACGGCACCGCAGCGACACACGCAACATAATATCAATTTCGAAATAGACAACTTTCTCGGGCCCACTTGGAACCTGACGAAATAATCGTTTGTGACGAAACGGCTCTGCGGCGCGGTGCTGACCGTCGCGTCGCGCACGACGACCGCCGCGTCGACCTCCACTCCCGACCCCCTATCCTTGTCCAAGCTACATGTAACATTTTAGTTCGAATCGTTCAGCGGGAGATGTACCCATCTTTGGACTATTGACAACGATACGTGTGACGCGATTGCAATGGGCGCTAGGATTTGATTAGTTCGCAGAAGTGACCAGCTGTGCTGAGCGCTCAAAGACTCTAAAAGGATGATGAACCCGTCCTATATGGTGTGTGTCGTGATGTTTGCACGATGTGAGACCCGTGAGTCATGAACGTGCGATGAGAAATGTTCAGTAGACGCATTGTCTACACAATGGATGGCCGGTACGGCTAATTTGATTATGTCATTATCGAATAAAAACTGCCGTGATTAATATAACGTGCGGTTTGTGTCAATATTGTATACCCGGTATGACATTAGTCTGCCCACTACATTCGCGTTACCAAGCAGTCTATCCATCTTGTTACTGTATGAAATTACACACATATATGTTGTATGCTAAACTATCTCAAAGTTACACTATGCACAATAAACAAACAAAAACACCTTAATAATCTTATAGTAACTGTTGTATAGTAGTAATAATAATTATTGAGCCTATGTTTTACCAAACGCTCATCTTAAAAGTCGGATTAAACAAATATTATATAATAGGCATCGATATATTATAAAATAATGACCATTCAGTTCGTACACGTGTTTCAATTCAACATTTAAGCTTTATGACGCAATGAATTAAATAATTGCAATTTAAACAAGATTTTAAACTGTACTCGAACCCGCGACCACGTTCCATGCTGTTGCCATATCACTAAGCTACAATGTCTGTTAAATAAATAAAAGAACACTGCCTGTAGTAGAGACGACAAAAGCTTCGGCTATAAGGAAAACTGTCGAAACGCGAACAAAAAGCTGAGCGATTTCGTTAGTGTCATTTTACGTAGTCGGCCGAAGAAAGTCATCAAGCATGGAGGAATTCCGGCAAGACGTTTTCGGCTCACCGAGAGTAATCAGTATCGGTCTTAGAGGGCATTTGAGATGGATCGCTTGCGAATGTGCCGCGCGGCGCGGTGGCGACTGCATTTCTTGCCCGGCCCGCATTCCTTCCTCTTGCATTCCGCAGAGCTACCTACTTACTCCTCACTACAGACCGTACAATGTACCGCTCGCGAAAGCACATTACACGGCTTTAATTCCTCGTGTTGGTCAAGTCTTTTAAATAGATGATAAACGCGTTGCGGCTGCAGAAATGTTGACCAGATTTTTTTAAATGTCTCTTATATATAAAATACATAGAAACCTTATAATTAGATTCGAAGGACTAAAAATGAATTTAAAAAAAAACACCTTTAATGTTTAAAACCGCGAAATTCATCGTTAATTCAATTTAAACCCTAATTCAGCAACCGGTGTTACGGGGTGACTGATTAAATAATAAATTTCGCATTTTAAACCGTTAATTATTTTACTACATGACGGCGATGTGCAAAATTATATCGTTAGTACAGTAATTTTTATTTGCTATTCCGCAAATAAAACACGTTTTTTTTTTCTAAAGCAATACAAAGTTGGACACGATATAGGGCGTTCGTTTAGTAACGGAAGGCAGACCACATACCGCACAAGGAATTCTGCCTGCCATACTAGACCAGCGTGCGGTGTTAGCGAACTGTAAGTATGGTTTCTGTGAATTTTAGCCGTTACAAATGAATGACCATTTGAAAAATACTTAATGTGTTCTTTTACTTGTTTATTATTTATTTCTTTAACCAATGAACATACACAATTCTTACTGAGATTAGTCAAAACTGGTATTAAAACCGTCTTGAAGTTTATATGCGTACACGAAGACGTCGACGTCCAAAAGAACTCTTTCAAATCTTAGCTAGATTCTATATCCATAAGTTTTGTTAGCCTTAGAGATTATTGTAATCAAATTTTATCGGCCTTATAGGACACAGAATTTGGTTCAACTAATCAACTGTACATACAACCGATTCCATAGAAAAAACGGGATAACACTATTAGATAAAAAGTGACATAGTTATTTGACCTTATATTCGTTTGCACAGTTTTTATTATTTCTACTCAATCAATGTTAAGCTTAGGGCCGTTAATTGTAATAAATAAATAATGAGTTTAAGTTTTTTCCATTTGTATTGTACATCGCTTACGTTTAAGCTCTTATGGTACAACTTTAAAACTTTTAACGGGTTCAAACACAATATATATAACTGCGGTCCGACTTTAATTGAATTGGACATTCTAAACACGGACAATTCTAAAGTTATCGTTGGATAACATGAATATTTATATCTATATTAATATTAAGGAGTTTAAGAGTTCGTTTGTTAAGGCTACTGTCAGGAACTACTTGTTCGGATTTATTTGTATTTTTTGTGTTGGACACATCACGCTGCGCCCAAGAAGCGCGAAGGAACAGTGGGAAATGTGGAAAATTATTCATCTTTGGGGGTTTCCGTTCAAAAACGGTTCAAAATAACTAAAAATTTGTATGACCTATTTTGGCTTTGGATTTTCGGAAATCCACAGACTGAAACCGAAACACGATACGTGACGGATTTTCAATCTGTACGACTGTCGTCGTGGGTAACAGGTATAATTTATTAAGATGTGGTTGCAAAAACTGTATTACGCGGACGAAGTCGCCGCCACAGCTAGTTGTGAATATTTCAGTCGACGTGCGTACGCACACGACGGATGCACTGTGAGGTTGAAACCCGCGCCGCGGCGCGAAAGCCAGCCCTATATTAGGCGCAGCGGGTCGGCGCCAGCGCTTCTAAGAACCGCGAGGAATGTGACTATTTACAACTTTTACCTATTCACCAACATTTACAACACGTACACGTACCGGTAGGTATCATTTAGACAATTTGTGCATTCCTGTGTAAATAAATGTAAATTAAAAAGATGCAACTATACCCATTGCATACAAAAGTATAAAATTAAGAATCATTATATGTACTATATGTTTTTCTTTTGGTGTTTTATTTCTATAAGACCTGAAGTCTTTACAAGCCAAGACAAGCCTGGCGTTCACTCGATTAAAGGTTAAATACCCTAGCCTAATCATGTGAAAAAGATGCACCGTCGACTTATTTTGGCTTTGGATGATCGGAAATCCACAAACTGAAATTGAAACGCGAATAAACTTCACGGCTTTTTCATGTATGGACGGCGGTTCGTAGCCCGGACGGAATTTCCATATTCCTACCAATTTAATATCTAGATTTCCAGATGAAGACCCTTTGATTATTAGCCATACAATGTTAGCGTTACACTAACGATCCCGTCAATGTTCTTATGTTTAATCATAGTTTGTTTTTATAAAACACTTTAAACGGTAGAAAACGTTAAATATATTACTTAAATTAATCTTAATTTTACACTACGGCCCGACGTTTCGGATGTTTTGCAGTAGCCGTGGACTCGGGAGGACTGAATTTGTAGGGTTCAAACTACTGAAGTTTATCAAAGCGACCTAAAAATGTATATATTTTCCGTTTCAGTGGTTTATCGAAGCATATCGGCCGAATACTTGTTGAACATTAGTTTAAAACATTGATGGGGTATTAAGGTGTTTGGAGAGTCGATGTCAACGTGGCGGTCGCTAAACGAATAAGGCTTCTGGCAGACTACGCTGTACTATAATATTTTATAGCATACAAATTCATCGCAATGGACATGCTGGTAAACAATACATATAACAAAGTTTTAAAACTCATGTGCTAAATCAGTGGCGTATATAAGGTCTAAGACAGGACCCTCGCCCTGCTCAAATTTTAACAGTGAATTGTGAGTGTGATGTTTTATACTAGCTGTGCCCGGGACTTCGTCCGCGTGAAATATATATTATATTAGACATGATATTGTTTATATATGCAAACGAGCACCTCAGCTTTTTACCCACGACCGTGTCCCTTCTTAAATGACAGACATATACCTACTGTCCCCGAAATTTTCAAATCATTTTTTCGTATACAACGGAAGGCCTTAAAGATAAATAGATTCCCAGTTCTGTTTAAATTTCCTTCTCTTTCTTTGCTCTTATTGGTCGCAGCCCGATCTTTTATAGCGTAAATTATTTTTAGATAAATAAATATTTTATCCGATATAGAGATTTTTGCAATACAAAGTAATAATTTCTACGATTAGGTCCTACAAACAAACCCTTCAGCTTTATAATATTGGTGTAGATACATTTTATAACTTTCTCACTACAATTTCCAAAATGCCCCCCTTCCCCATAAAATATTATAGATGTTTTATATGCTATGATAGCATAGCGTAGTCTGAAAAGAGCTTTAGCCTGAAGAAGAATGGGGTCGGTCTGTCTGGCTGTGTTGGCATCCGGCCTAACGACGAGCTAGCATTCTCTGCTTCTACCTACTAGCTTGCCACTCGTGTTTTCGACACTTATTCAGATATTCTTTAAATATTTCAAAGTGGACATTTATTCAGATTTTAAAAAAGAAGAAATATTAGTATGCTTGATTATTGACGGATAAACAGACATAATATACTCGTTGTTGGTGTGTTACTGTTTAGTATATGACGAGGTTTTGGATTCGCAATCTGGGTCTGGCAAAATGTTATCTTGGTATAATTTTTTATTAGATTTTTTGGAGCACATTCCGTCTTCAGTGCCAGTTATCTCAACAGATTTAGTGACGGTAGTTGTTAAGCTGATTGAGTAAAAAAAGATACTGAAATTACCAGAAAGCTCTCCACACTGAAAAACCGGCCGACTGCAGGGGCAGGCTCACAGCCAAACCTTCAGGGAAGTTTTGTATGCCAATGCCCAACGCCAGGTTTCTGAAACAATCATTATCGTTAGTTAAGAATTGATATAGTAAGAACTAACTTTCATATGTTGTTTTGGTAAATACTTTGCTCATAGGTAAAGGGGGGTTCGGGGTGCAAACGTGGAGCTCTATTCAGACACATTTTTGCGTATGTTTTATTAATTGACGTGCCAATAGCTTATCAGCCTTATTAGCTCCTAGGAAAACTTAACGAATCGTTGTGATATCGATTCGTTAAGTTTTCCTAAAATTCCAATCCAGGACCATTCATTCACTGCCAGGAGACACGTCCAACCATTGAGCCAGAACAAAATGTTAGACAAACGCCAAAACAATAGCATTTCGAGCCGTCTAACGCAGGAATGCCACGACATTCCACAAGGGCGTTCCTCCTTGCCTTTCTCGCTTGCACCTGCTTACCCGGCTCTAGGAATGCTAACTGTTTCTACGTCACCGTTAAACTTAACCATTCCTTGTAAAGGTCATATCTGGTACTCGCGTAAGATTACATCACTGATATTTGCAATTTCAACTCTGCTATGAGCTGAATCTCATTGAGATTCATTCTTGCTATCAACATTCCATTGTATGCGTGTTTATTTATTTACAAATATATATGTTTAAAGATAACTTCTTATATGATAGTAAGATATATATATATATACCTATATATATACCTATAGTTACATAAATTGTAATAATGGGGCATCACTGACAATCAGCATTGTGCCTAGGTGCAACGAACGCGGAGCTGTACGTACTAACATATAATACAATCAATTAAATAAAACAGTTCAACAGTTTAAAACGCAATATTATATTAGTTATTTATTATCTTTTTGACTTCAGCCCGACGTTTCGATACTTTGCAGCAGCCGTGGTCACGGGGAGACAATCAATTACTTTGAATGTGTAACAAATAATTTTGATTTATTAAACAGAATAGTCCTTATAACAGAATAAAAGTAATGATTGTGAGGACACAGAACAGACTGATATAAGGGACTTCAATACACCTAGATTCAACGCTTTACCTCGCTGTCTCTTCACGAGTTATAGAATTGGTACCACCGTCAAAGACTTTTTGCCAATAAAACTTGGTCTTAAAGAAAATTAAACGGGATAAGCTTTACAATCGAACATTACAGTGAACGTTAATGGGGAACTGTGTAAAGTTATCTCGAGGAAGAGACGACAACCGAACATATCTGTAGGCACTAATAGCGACGTAAACGGAGAACTTGGAAATACCTGTTAAAAGGGTTAACTTAATAAGCATCTGAGGCGGAGCCTTTGAGCTCGGTGAAAGCTGTTCGCCACGACTCTTGGCCAGCTACTGACCGACAGCGGAGTACAAGTAGATTCCACATCGCCTACTATGTATACTCAATTTTATATTCGATTTAAAGCGTGGCCGACTGTAGAATATTGAATTCTGAACTTATAAATACCACCTGCAATGCTACTATAGATATTTTTATAGTAGCTATTAGTAGTTTTATATAATAAATGTTATGTAATTGATAAGAATATAGCCGCTAACCGCGCTCTTTAATGTATATTTATAACCAAATGTCTGTTAGTCCTGGACAAACATTCAAGATTATTTGTGACGCCAATAAGGAAATGTAATATAAAAAATATAATTTTAATTTTTGCAAATAAAGTTATGCAATTGATTCTATGATGATCTATTTTGTTAAATAATAATAATTTATTTATCAGACCATAAATCCATTTGTTAAAATCAATTTAATCTAATGAGTGTTAGTTAAATGCTAACATAAAAAGTTAATTCGTTACTAGACTCTTTTTTAAATATAAATTAATTATAAAAATATTTCTAAGCAGATAATGCACTTATATCCACAGTCGTAAATTATGTATTACCTACGTAGGTCACTACTGAAGCACATTTGTAAACGCACTGATGTAGGTACCTAAATAAAATGCATATGTGTTCTTTAATGCTTGGTATTACATTCAGTATAATGGAGAAGGATATTCAACTATATAAGGGAATCATAAAAGGTAGTCCAGAGGGCGCATTCGACTTTTGTTTGTGACGTCGTAAAAAAATTATCTCAAAATGTGCCACAATATATTTTGTATTCAGTTTATGATCTCTGGTAAAGGAAAATAGCAAACAATCATTCGTCAACAAGGTTTAGGTGTGTACCTGGTACCTTTGCAGCAGACATATATTAGGATTCAGTTGTTGTCAGGGCTGTTGATGTTGCGATGACTGGAATCGCCAAAAATGTTAAAATCCACGATTTAAGCATGTAACGAATTAGCATTGAATAACCTATTATGTCAACAGTCTGTAGAAATTTTTCAAGTGAACGGTGTAACGCTGACTCCGGATACATCCGAATTCCAATTACATCACCGACGAGACCATTTCACTTTCCGATCTACCCGGAAGTGAATTCCAAAGAACGGGCATACAGCGCACCCGACGTCCACCGCGATACTAAACCTTATTGCGAAGGAATAGAGCACATCGTGTCGTTTTCCGCGAAAAGCGTCAGAAGCGAGTACAAAACGCCGAAGCGGATGTGAACGTTCGAGATATACAGTCGAAAAGTGACTTAGTTTTCGGGCGGCAAAGTGTAGATTATTTTGTAGACACACATCGGCAACCGCGAAAGTAGTGGCAACTTTCACGGCGCGATGTGATGGGGGCGAGGTAGGCGAAGGGGGGCCCTGGCGCGACGGTCATTGACGATACCGTGACCCACATACCACAGCTCCATTCATGCCGCGGCCTCGCGCTTCATACCGCACTTCCAAGCCAAGCGCAGGACTCTGGACCCCGAAAGACAACTCTACAACGGATCTACTAGCGATCCGCTATGTGTATATGGCAATTGTATTTACTTGTGTACTGGAAACGCGACGAATCCGACATACACTTGTTCGATTATAAACTACCTAGGATGTTTAAAAACTACAAAACCAAAGTCTTGGTTTCCAGTTGAAGCTAAGATGAACAATCGAACCTTGACAGGATCTGCGATCATCTTTGGGCCTCAACGTGGAGCGTTAATCTATTGTAAGAGCGTGGCGTGTGCATATACCGTATAGTGTGATAGATTAATTGGCAACTGGTCTTGCGAGGTGAGTGCGCTGTAGGTATCTCAAGCGGATTGCAGGCGTCGAGCTGCAAGGTGCGCGGGGAGGGGATCGGCTGCCAGACAGCGGGGCTCCGCTGGGAGACCAACAACAGCCTCTTGCATAGCTAGAGAATCTAGAGATCGACCACTGCTCCACTTCGATTTAATATTGCATATTTTATTTGGCGAAAGATGTTTGATTGGCGTTGCGATATCGTTACCTAATGCCGCGAATGGTGGCTTGTTTTTATTGCAGCTGATGTTACTAAACGACAAAAATGTTATATTTATGGTAATATGAAGTATATCAGGTGATACGGGCTCTAGTTTGTCTTACTAAGTGTTATGATATCAGTACATACAAACCTAGTAGTTTCACTAGATTACACTAGAATCTAGATCTTGTTAGACAACAGCAGTAACTTATTAATAATAACCAAAAATAACAATTACAGTGAAAATTTCAGTAGTACTACTGTCAATTTTCAAAAGTAGGCAGTGAACTTAGATAGGTACGTGAATCTAATTTGGATGAAATTAAACAGGAAGGAATTCGACAAAGGTATTTCATTATCAACAATATACCTGTGTATGTATTGTCTTTCAAACGCTGAAAGAACACGTTTACTGCGATGAACTGAAAACTATACGTACTTGTGTTTAAATTTCTTAATATTTACAGTATTAATCATAGTACCTATTAACCAAATGAAGCTTAACTGACTTATTCAATAGATATTTACTAAAGCTGTATAAACCGCTAGACTAATGTTTTTTTTTATGATAGAGCAGGATATACAAGATTGGGGTTTACTTGATGGGAGGCGAAACACCCCAGCCATAGAACATGTTTATTACATGCGCTGTCGAGATATTTTAGCTTTGGATAATCGGATACTTGAATAGACAATGTGTATTGTGGATGTCTTCGAAATAGTAGTTACACGCTTTAAGATGTTATCAGGTCAGAGTCTGCATATGAGAATTTTAGAATTGAACGTTTCCTACGTTTATTGCGGTAAAATTACGAGAAAATTACAAAACAAACAAAACCAAAAGGAAAAAAAGTTTGTTAGGACCTATGATGAAGTATAGCCAAATGTATCCCCGATTTCTCATCGACAACAATATAAGGATCATCAGCGTTGCTTTGGGTACTGTGAAATATGCCTGCACCGAAGGACCAAGTTAAAGAAATAAAACTAGCTCTATGTTGAAGTGCAACAAGATCGGCGTCGGCGCCGACCACGTCACGCGACCGCATTCCATGGCGCCTCCATTCATGGGGCGCGAGTGAGACACTGCAATGGGACCTTTGGTCGGAACGAGAAAGGAAATCGAACGCCGTTACTCTCTAAGGGAATGCGATTCGTTAGCATGCGCACAGATTTGGTGCTCGCTACGTTCCATCGGGCTTCGAGCGTAGCGGAAAATTCCTTATCTCGGCATCAGCAACGATCATAACACTCAAAATGTACACATTAAGTTAACAAAAAAATTACAATAAAAGGATTTGCCACGACTTTCTTTCCAGTTCTTCTCGTACGTTCTACGGCTTTAATTTGGAATATGTTTTTACGTTCATAATAATTGAATCTACTAATGTTCTGCTGTATTGTACTACCTACATGAATAAATCATTTTTTTGATACTGCTTTGAGATTTGATCGAACGACGTCCGTGATACACATTTAGCCTTAATCTGCTGACATTGTGTTTCACATAACCAAATCCACAATGAATTAAAGGTAACTAAACGCTAACCAAGTTTAGAAAGAAATGACTCTAGTCTGAGAGATTTTTGAAAATTTTTGGCTATTATGAAAACAATTTACTATTAAATTATGGAAGTATCCCTCCCATGGGAAAGTCTGAAAAGAATAAGTACATA